AGATCTGCGACGTGGGGGTGTCCCTGCCCCTGGACGAGAACATGACAGGTGAGGCCTTTCCCGGGACAGCCCCAGCCCGGGAATCCCGGGAATTCCGGGCCCGCTGGAGCCGGGCTGGCTGGAGGAAACGAGGCTGACTGGGAGGGTTGGGGGGGGAGAGCCCCAGGCTGGAGGAGCATGGGGGGAGGGAGAGGCTTTTAATGGGAATCTGGGGAATCTGGGAAGAGGCTTTTGACGGGAATCTGGGAAGCCTGGCGGTGCCGCAGCGCCAAATTCCCACACAGAGTGTGGGAAGGAAATGGGTCCAGGCTCCCCCAAAAGGCGGGAGGAACTGGAAAGGCTTCACCCACCAGGCGGGAACATCCCCGAGGCTCGGGAATCCAGGGACAGGGGACTCTCCCCCCCACACCCCCCTGTGGAGCTGGGGCGGGCCCTTTTCCAGGGAAAAGCGATTCCAGGGGGGTGTTGGTGGCCCGCAGTGAGCGACCCCCGGCTGTGCTACGTGGGCACCGAGCCCTGGAAGCCCAAGGAGGCGCTGGAGGAGGGCGGCGTCATCACGGACAAGGCCGACATCTTCGCCTTCGGGCTGACGCTGTGGGAGATGATGACCCTGAGCATCCCCCACCTGGACCTGGGCCCCGACACCGGGGATGAAGGTTTGGAGGCTCCACGTTCCCTGGGGGGACGGCCCTTTCCATGCGGGAATTGTTCCCAGTATATCCCACCTCCCTCTCCTTCCTGGCCCTGGTTCCCTGGGAATTGGGGACACCCCTCCCCCTGGCTCCTCCCTCCTGCCAGGGGGTTGTGGGGAGGGAAAAGGTCCCTTCTGATCCCTCTTTTTCCCCGGGATGAGCCCCCCACCCTCCCAGCTGCTCCTGCCCCTTCCCAGCTCCCTTCCCTTCCCTTCCCTGCACACGGAGATGCTCCCTGGGCTGGAGCCAGGCTGGGAGAGTTGGGAATGCTCAGCCTGGAGGAGGATCCAGGGAGAGCTTGGAGCCCCTTCCAGAGCCTGCAGGGGCTCCAGGAGAGCTGGAGAGGGATTTGGGATCAGGGCCTGCAATGACTGGAAGGACACAGGGAATGGCTTCCCACTGGGAAAGGGGAGATTGGGAAGGGATTCCCAGCTGGGCTGGGCTGGAATTCCCAGGGAAGCTGTGGCTGCCCCCTGCAGTGTCCCAGGCCGGGTTGGATCCCCTCGGATAGCAGGAAGTATCCCTGCCTGTGGAATGGGATGGGATTTTGGGTTCCTTGGTGCCCTGGGCGTGGATCCCAGAGATCCCAGCAATCCCCTGGGATGAGCCCCCCCCCAGCATTCCCGCTGTCCCCATTCCAGAGGATTCCCTGGCCGAGGATCTGTTCGACGAGGACGCTTTTTACGCCGCCCTGGGGACGCGCCCGGCCCTGAACCTGGAGGAGCTGGAGCCGTCCCACCAGCCCCTCATCGACCTGTTCTCCGTCTGCACCGCCCAGGATCCCAAAAAACGGCCCTCGGCCGCGCGCATCCTGCAGGTGCTCGAGGGGATGGAGCCCCCGCTCTGAGCGCACACTGGGAGCCGGGAATCGCCTCTGGAAAAGTCTCCCAACCCTCCTCCCTCCCTCCCTGTGTTTGGGGATGAGTTTTTCCGTAGTTTTGTGTTGGGGAGGGGTGGGGGATGTTGAAAATAAACGGGTTTTGGGGATCCCCTGTGTGGGATTGGGTGTTTTTTTTCCAGGGTTTTTTTTCCAGGTGTTTGCAAGTTGGGGTGAGGGGAGGGTGTTACCCTGAAGGCACGGGATGTTGTCCGGAAATCAAGGAATATCCTTGCTGGGATGGTCCCACAAGGATCAGAATCCAAATCCCTCTGGGAGAGCAGCTGGAAAACTCCAGGGAAAAGGTTTCCTGGCACAACAGAAACTCATCTCCCCGTGGAATGGTTTCACATCTCGTAAAATAAGAATACTGTCCTAAAATCATGGGATGTTGTCCAAAAATCATGGAATATCCTTGCTGGGATGGACCCAGAAGGATCAGAATCCAAATCCGCCTGGGAGAGCAGCTGGAAAACTCCAGGGAAAAGGCTTCCTGGCCATAAGTGTGGGTATAACCTGGGAGCCTGCGCAGTGGATTTTTTTTAGGTGAGGCTCAGCTTGCGCAGAACTGGTCCCACCCTTTACTCCTGAGGTTCATCTGCCAGGGCCTGGCAAGCTTGGAAGGTGACAGCGAGGTCCCCAGGACGCAGGTTTAATTAGAGCATCCTTCTCTTGGATGGATGGCCTTACAGGGCTAAGCGAGCTCCGTCTGCCCGGGGTTTGGAATTAGAGTTGTCCTTCTCCTAGGATGGCTGACTGCCTGGTGAGCCCATCCTGACCATTTTATCTGACCCTTCAGTTTTGACCTGTCTGGCACGGGAGACCCTACAGGAGGCAAATACCACCCAACAGCACAGCTCGCAACCTCATAAGGGCACGCTGAAATAGTTCGGAGGAGCCCTCCTCTCCCTGCTTTTCACTCACAGCTTCCTGCAGTTTAACCCGGGGACAAAAACAAACAACCAACCAACAAAAACAAACAAGAAAGAACAAGAAAGCAACCCCCACATTCCTGGGCAGAAGCCGCGGGCAGGCCGAGCCCATCCCATCCCACCCTCACTGCGGCAATGCCCGGAGAGGAGCGATCCATCCGCCCTCCCCCGGCTCCTGCCCGGCCTGACCCAGGAATTTCTCCTCCCCTCCGAACGGGACCATCCACCCGCCCCGCCTCGACGGTCTGGGGAAACTCCCAGGACCGTCTGGCCACCTCCCTGCACCCGCCCGGCCTGACCCGGCGCGGCCCGGCCCCTCATGGCCACGGGCTGTTCGCCAACCGCTCCACCGTTGAAGCGCGGCTCCCGACGGCTTCTCCACGAGGTCGGCTGCACAGATCGGCGCGGCGAGGAGCCGTGGGAGCAGGAGCGGGTCCCTCACCACCCACCACCCAGCTGCAGGAGCACGCCGAGCGCCAGGTCCCCCCGCCCGCCATCTTGGGCCCCCCGCCCGCCATCTTGGGCCCCCCGCCCGCCATCTTGGACCCCCCGCCCGCCATCTTGGGCCCTCCTGGCACAACAGGTTGTTGGAAACTCATCCTCCCACGGGATGGTTTTATATCTCATAAAATAAGAAGGCTGTCCTAAAATCACGGGATGTTGTCCTAAAATCATGGAGTATTTTTGCTGGAATCCAAATCCCTGTGGGAGAGCAGCTGGAGAATCCTGGGAAAAGGCCCCACGGCCACAGGGAAGGCCCCGACCCGGCGCAGAGGGAACAACCTTTGTGTTAATTGCAAACTCCACCAAAATTAATTTATTTGCCATAAAATTCCCATTCTGGGACCAAACAAACCAAACAAACATCCAGGGGGGGCCCGGGATTCCCAAACAAACCCACGGCACATCCAGGGGGATCCCAAACAAAGCCGGGACATCCAGGGGGATCCCGGGATTCCCAAACAAACCTGGCACATCCAGGGGAGTCCCAGGATTCCCAAACAAAGCCGGGACATCCAGGGGGATCCCGGGATTCCCAAACAAAGCCGGAACATCCAGGGGTATCTCGGGATTCCCAAACAAACCTGGCACATCCAGGGGAGTCCTGGGATTCCCAAACAAACCCACGGCACATCCAGGGGGATCCCAAACAAACCCGGCACATCCAGGGGGATCCCAAACAAACCCGGCATATCCAGGGGGATCCCAAACAAACCCGGCATATCCAGGGGGATCCCGGGACTTCCCCCCAACCCTCCCCCACTGTACACAAAGTGACATTTGCTCCCAGGACCGGGAACGCCAGGAACGCCAGGAATGCTCCCAGGAGCTCAGCAGGAACTGCAGGCAGGGATCAGCTGGGACTGGGAATGCCGGGAATGCTCCCGGGGGGCTTCAGCAGGAACTGCAGACAGGGATCCAGGGGTTTAGGGATCAAACTCAAGCCGAGCTTATCCCAGCGGGGCCTCCTGGGAGAGGAAGTTGTAGACCAGGAAGTTGGGGGTCCGGCAGTAGCTGCTGGCCAGGAGCTTCCCGTGCGGGGTGGGGTCGGAAAAGGCGATTTCCCGGGAGCTCAGGACGCTCCCGAACGTGAAGGTGCTCCTGGAAGAGAAACGCCGGGATGGACCCGCCGGGAACGCTCGGGGCGGAGGGCAGAGGGAAACTGGGATAGGGGAGGGAAAGTGGGATGGGGGAGGAGAACTGGGATAGGGGAGGGAAACTGGGATGGGAGAGGGAAACTGGGATAGGGGAGGGAAAGTGGGATGGGAGAGGGAAAGTGGGATGGGAGAGGGAAAGTGGGATGGGAGAGGGAAAGTGGGATGGGAGAGGGAAAGTGGGATGGGAGAGGGAAACTGGGATGAGGGAAAAACTGGGATGGGAGAGGGAAAGTGGGATGGGA